CGTGAAGCAAGAACAGGGGTAGCACAGAAGTGGTGCAAAGCTTGGCTATGTGAGCTTTTATACAAGACTGTCTTAGTTAGGGTTTCTATCGCTGTGAAGCGACACCACGATCATGGGAACACTTACAAAGGAAAGCATTTAATTGGGCTGGCTTAGTCCAGATGTTTAGTCCATTGCTGTCATGGCGGGAAGCATGGTGGCATGAAGACAGACATGGTGCTGCAGAAGCAGTTCTACATCCAGAAGCCTCGGGCAGCAGAAAGACAGAGCAACACTGGGCCTTCTGAAACCTCAGGCCCACCCCAGTGACATTCCTTCCCCAACAAGGACACATCTACTCCAACAAGCCACACCTCCTAACAGTGCTACTCCCTAGGGGCCTATGGGATCCTTTTTATTCAAACCAGCACAAAGATAAAGCTGTTTGTTTTCCCCCTTAACACACACACACACACACACACACACACGTGTGTGCGCAGGCACACACACATGCACACAATGTGTATCGCGATCTATCACATGCTTGGACAGACATTATGGAAGAGTAACATCTGTTACCTCACATATTTACTTCTGGTGAGCACAGAGAAATCTACAGAGTCTATGCCCGGGTCAACTGTTATGGCGAGTAGAGTAAGGCGTAACAAATGCAGTAGCGGAGCACAGCGAGTCATAAACGGCACGGCTGCTATTAACACTGTGCAGCTCCAGCCTCAGGAAAATCCACATGCACACACTGAAATCTTGCACAGGGACGAAAAACAAGACAACCTGAAAAAACCTGAAGGTGCCAGTGATGAACTCTAGGTCTGGCATGGGTGCCTGAGAGGCTGCGGCTGATTGCTCCCCTTGCTGAGGAGCAGGTCTGTGTGTGCATCCAGGAGAGGAGATCTAAGAGGCCAGCGAGCAAGCCTGCAGTGTGGGCACAGGTGCGGCTGGGAATCAAGGCAAGAGGGTGTTCTGAGCATCTCATACCATGAGAAGGGCTGACACTGCCCACAGAGGACGTGTTCAGTCAGAAGCTGGATAAGCCAGGACAGAACCTGAGAACACTGACGAGGGACAAGGAGACAGTGGCGCCCATGGAGGAAAAGAAATAGTGCACTGGAGCACAGCTCAGTGGGTGAAACACTGGCTCTCAAAGCATCAAGACTGGGGCTCACTTTTTCCCTACAGGTACGTGGAGCCCTCACACCCTATCAAAGAATCTTTTTGCAGCAGACGGAAACTATTACAAAAACTACGACTATTCAAAAGGCAGAGAAGAACTGACTGTGGGGTGCTCAGCCCCAAACTGATAACTCAACCCCTGTCCTAAGGCCCAGGAGACATTGAGGACGAGGTGGCAGAGACTGAAAGGCAGAGGACCAGAAAGTCTGCTGCAAGATTGTATCTTCTAGATGTGACAGGGAAGGTAGACCCACGGAATCTCAATGATATGGCTGTTCAAACAAGACCTAAACACGGACAGGGGAAATCGATGGGGGCCTCATGCCCAGACGAAGAGCTACAGAAAATTAGTCCTCCCCAGAGGCAAGCCCCTTAAATGGTTACCAATCCCAAGTGGTCAGCAATAAGAACATATGCATAGAAGCAACACTAAACAGACTCAGGAGGTTGTGTTTACATATTTACTTTCAAGAACTCATGAAGAAGTTGAGTGCAGGAGAGCACAACTTATGATGGTGAGTGTTGTCAACTTGACAGGACCTAGAGAGGGACCTCTGGGCATGACTATGAGGGGATTATCTGCTGTTTAACTGTGAGCCAACAGTTCTCCCTAGGTTGCTTTTGTCAGTGTATTCTGTCACAGCACCAGCAAAGGAATATAAGGAGAGTCTGTAATCTTGGTTCTTCTATGGGGAGATGCAGGGAGGAGACACAATGATACCTTGAGGCCCAAGAACATGGCGTACACAGCGGTGACGAAGTGGAAAGAATCGGTATACATCTACTTGAAGGGACAGGGAGGGATTATCCAGGAGAAAGAAGAGGAGGAAATTACAGCTGCAACTGCTGGGTCTAACTCTGTTTTGTTTTTCTTTTTTAAACAGGGTCTCATTATGTAATCCAGGCTGGCCTGGAACTCGCAGAGATCCTCTTATCTCTGCCTCTCAAGTGCTGGGAATTGTAAGATAAGGAACTGATCATTCTGTGAACTGTGAAGACGAAGCAAATAATGATGATGCAGGGAAGACTCATCCAGAACAAGGTCCTGGAGGAAAAAGGGCTTTGAAAGCATCGCCCATATATCAGGCGCTGCCAGAGGCCCTGGGAACGCGGATGAGTCAAACAGAATCTGCCCCCGAGGAGCTCACGGTCTGGCAGGGAAAGTGGTATAAACAAGAGAGTGACACAGACACCAGTCGTCCCTCTGGGCACGTTATGTCACGGAATGGAGGACTCAGCTGACAGGGCTCTGCTGAACCATGTCAGTGGCTGCTCACTCTCCACCCCTGCTGTCTCACAGCAGCTGGAGCCCAGCCCCACCAGGCTTGCTTGTTTACTTTGTATGAATGAACAAACACAGCCATTGGTGATTACTCCCAGGAATAGAAATTTTACAGAGGTAAAAGAACATACTTTAAAATAAGTGATTTGGGATATTAATGAAAAAAAAATTAATGAAAAAAATACTATACATATAATACTATGCACACTTAATATAATGTGAATGCCTGTACCCCACCCCCAATTTAATATGTTGAACTATAATCCTCAACACAATAGTGCAAGTCGTGGGGCCTTTAGGAAGGGATTAGGTCATGAAGACTCTGAGGAATGTGACTACTGTCCTTGAAAGCCTGACTTTCTCAGTGTGGTCACTCACACCTATAGTCACAGGTCTTGGGAGATAAAGTCAGGAGGATCAAGAGTTCAAGGCCAGCTTTGGCAACATGGGGAATTTGCACCCATCCTGGGCTACATGAGACCTGCTGTCAAACAAAACAAAACCAACTAGCCAAAGACCAGCCATAACAGAGGCCTGGGGAGCCTATCTGCTCCTGTCGTCACATCATACTAGAAAGCATACACTGCCTGAGGAACAGCAGTGGGGTTGGGGTGGGGGGTTGGGGTTGTTTACCAGACACCGAATTGGCTAGCACTTGACTTTGAATTCCAAACCTCCAGAACTAGAAGAAACAAGCATTCCTAAGTCAGTCAGCTTCTGGGGAGATGAGTCTTGATGGATGATAGCCACTGAGTCCATCAGAGTTGGAATTATGTCACTAGTTTTAATACACACCTGCCATCTACTACCTCACACCTTAACACAGAGCACTGCGCAGTACTGGCTGTTCCCCTGGGCGGTCATGTGGCTGACTGGGAGCTGCATTTGCTACCACTGTTTGGCACTGAGAGAGCGGGCATCATAAAGCCCAGAAAAGATGAAGCCTCAAAGGGTAGCCTTCTACCAGATGCATATTCCTTCCATGTTAGCTTACAGTTTCAAAGTTAAGTCATCAAAGGTAGGGGACCATCCCAACTCTGTAAGGGCAGCTCCCAAAATGAAAATATCTAGAAAATATGCATGAGAATGCTATACAGAGACAACGGAAGGTTAAGAGAGTAGCAGGCACAGCTTGACCATGTGGCGAAGGCCTGACCTGATCCAGAGCTCTTTGGCCAAATGTACTTTATGCTACTTTAGGCTTAAAATTAATTGATTTTATTAATTTTTGTGATGCTACAACATTAAACTTAGTGTCTAATGCATGTGTAAGTATTCTATCACTGGGCTAACCATCAGTTTTTTTGCTTAAAATATAATCATTTAAGAAGGGGTAAAATGTTATTACTCAAAATTGTAGATAAAAGACTAAAAAAATGTGTAAGACTATATAAGATAAAACCAGCTAGGTTGGCTCTAAAGCTAGATTTGGCTATAAATGAGGCACAGCATTTACTATTAATAAGTAAATCATTATTAACAATAACAATAATAACTAATTATCAATAACTTTGTAAGCTAAGGAAGGAGACTGTACAACAGATAGCCCCAGGCTCTCAAACTTATCTTTCAAAGTTTCTAAGGCAGTGTTCTAAAGCCTTTTAGGAGATCAAAAGTTCTCTATGACTCTAATGAATGCAATGAGTCCCCCAAATAAACATCACTTGAGGGATCTCTTCACTTAGCCCACAGACCCCAGAGAGAAGTGGCAACAGCAGACTCTGGAGTGAAGACGCCTCGCCTTCCTTAACGTCTTTGCCAGACCCATGTGGACAGTCAGCCGTGCCTCCACCTTGCATGGCCTTCTCAACTCTAAGAATGCTCATCTTTGACACCCAGGGCCATGCCTACTACCCTGAATACAGTAAGAACCCACCTTAGCTGTGAGTTAAACTGACCGGTGATACCTTCTCAGAGTCATAGTCCTCAAGTTTTCAGACTTTCAGTACATCTCAATGACTATCATCTTCATATTGTCCCTTTGACAGACAAACCTAGAGCACTGTGAGCTTGTTTTAATAGCCTGTCCACTTTCCAAAACTAACCTTTGTCTAATGACAGGTGTCTATCCACCCCATACCGAAACCTATGCCTCAGAGTTCCAGGGCAAAATGTGATGACACTCCAACAAAAAGAAAGAAGCCAACCAACCATATACACTACCTGCTTTTAAGTACCTAAGTGGTAAAACCCTCTGCTTTACAACACACCCAGAGAACATCCATCAAAGGCTCACAGGGAAATTCTCCACCACAGTGCAGCCCCAGGACCTGAGCCACACTCAGCAGCCTGGAGGCATTCCTGTTTATCCCTGTTGTGCTGAGAAAGGGAGGCATCTCCTAAACTACATCAAAAGCTGCAACAGATATGGTGTCTAGTGATGACATCGTAATAGTGCTTACTATTTCAGGAAACAAAACCACTTTGATGAGCAATTTTATACATGATTAAACAGTCCGAGTTTTCAAGGATCAAATCAAGTCCATCTATGACTTTAAAAGGCACAATTCAATGTGTTCAGAAGGTGGGGAGGGGGAATTCTACTTACCTATAGCACAATGTAAAATCTAAAGAAAAAAAAAAGGAAAAGGAAAATTAGTCAGGGCCAATATTACAGCCTTACTTCACACAGTTAAGAATAGAGCAGTGCCGGCCAGCAACACTGAACCTGAAAAACAAACATTCCACTTTTAACCTTGCTACAGTCTATTTAACAAAAGAAAACCTGTTACTAGTTAGTTCATTTTAGCTTGTATTTCTCTGGGCGAGATCCTAAGGATGTAATCGTCACATGGTGGTTTGTTAGATGTCAATGGCCTCTTTTATAATCAGCTCACAAGCACAGCCAACGCAGGGCACCTCCTGTGTCTCATAATCTGCAGGACACAACTGTCACAGGCTATACAATGTGGTCTCAGTAGCGCCTTTGTTGGCTATTCTTGCCCAGCAGACCCTTCAATGCAGATATTTATTCTTCAAAGCTACATCCCCAGTCACTGCCTTGCTTTGCTCAACAGTCATGCTGTAGAGCTCCTCTCTGGTCTAACTTCTAAACATGTCCCCCAGCTCCAGGTCCACTTTCCAAATCACCCTGGACATCGCCATGCACTGCATCAGCACCTCAAAATGGCTACCTCCATGGGAAACACATCACTTCCTTCCTCCCCATGATATGCCTGGGGCCATGGGGCTCCTGGTCTGCAGGGCTAACTTACCCTTACCCCTAAGTCTCAACTGGCTTCCAATTCCTGCTGATACATCTCAGAGCATTCTTGTTTTCTCTTCCAGCACCTGGAGTGAGAATGCCATTTCTATCCTATCTCAATGGCCTCTCAATTGGCCAACTGTGTCCTTCTAAATCCCCACTACTTTAACAGTGGTGATGATGATTTGAAGCCACCTATGTACTGAGTTCATGAACAGTCTTCTGGACAGTAAGGATAACATCTGTTGAAGACCCTGCTCTCACTTCTACAGAACATCTCTAGCCGTTACTTATTATTGATCCTGACAGTCACCCTGACAGGTAGACAGGGTGGGAACACTAAGACACAGAAAGCGGCACGGCTTGCCCACAGTGGTCAGCAATGGCCCGGGTAAGGACCTGAACTTTGATTTTCTGTCTTCTCTAGTTTTCTATCACTATTTCACTGCAAGCAAGTCATGAGACCCCGAGACAGGAACTTCTCAAGACAGACTCTACCTAAAAAAAATTCACAAGACAGACTCTAGCTTAAAAACTTCACAAGACAGACTCTAGCAAAAATGTCCACTAAATTCCCCCATCCCATTTCAGGGAGGTGGGAACAGGGTATAGGGACAGAGCTTGGATTAAAAAGCTAAGCTGTAAAATTTTGCTGCTACCTGAGAAGGAAAGAGAAAATTTCCATCCAGCAAGTCACATTATCCCTTCAAAAGACACCCCTGAAAATCTCAAATGTGTGAATATCTCCTGCTGCACAGCTTGGAAAAAACTAGAGGATATATCTAGACTGAAATGAGAGATGAAATGAAGGACATGAATGAAGGACATCCTTTGAGAAGACAGGAGCACACATTTTCTTCATATGTGTGACAAGACATCCTGGCTGCTCAGTAAGGATGGGACACTGCAGAAAGAAAAAAAAAAAATGACAGTAACTCAGGGCTACCCTGTTTTCTAGGTTTCATCCTAGCAGGCTGAGCCTCTCCTTTTCCATCTCACATACTTTATAGTGCTCCCTTTACCTTCCTGATGACACTCACAGCTGATGTGACCTACTTACACCAAAGTTTCAAAAAACTATCCTAAATGGTACACAAAGGCTAAAACAAAATAATTTAATTAGAACTATATATTTCAATATGTAAATGCTTTTGGACTAATAATATAACAACCAGATACAATACCAACTCATAATAAGTAAGTTTGGATTTAAAAATAAAAATTTCAGGGGCCAGTGAGATGTTCTGCAGGTTAAGGCCCTGCTGTACAAGCCAGGCAGCACAGTTTGTGTGGAACCCACAAAGAGGTAGGTGGAAAGGGCTGGCTCCACAGAGCTCTCTGACTTCCACCACGTGCACTATAACTCCTGTGCCCACACCCATATAATAATAAATAAAATGTAAAAAATAATACAAGTTTCAGAGACTACTCTGCAAATACAAATACAATGGTCCAGGCTAAAACTAGAAACAAACAAACAAACAAACAAAAATCATAAAGGTAAGTAATACTAGAAACATAACAAAGTCAGGCAGTGGTGGTGACACAGGCTTTAAATCCAGGAGGCAGAGGCAGGCAAATCTCTGTGAGTTCAAGGCTAGCCTGGTATACAGAGGGAGTTCCCAGGACAGCCAGGGCTACACAAACCAAGCCTGTCGGAAGGAAGGAAGGAAGGAAGGAAGGAAGGAAGGAAGGAAGGAAGGAAGGAAGGAAGGAAGGAAGGAAGGAAGGAAGGAAGACATAACAAAGTTCCTTGGGCACCATATTCTTTAAATAGTGAAAGGACTTAAAAATAGATTCTGAGTGAAGAAACCACTACCACCACGACAAAACTGACCCACAGCACTGCAAGAAGCAACACAGTAGTTATGCACCAGATTGGGGACACTTTCAGACAAAGTTAAAAACCAGTGCTGGAGATACATCAGTCAGTAAAGTGTTTACAAGAGACCTGAATTCAGTCCCCAGAACCACATAAGAACAGACAAACAAACAAATGTAGATGAGGCTTTATCCTCATCTACATGGTGAGTTCCAGACCAGCAAAAGAGCCTGAGTCAAACAAAAGCAAAGGTGGATACCCAAGGTACCCTCTGGCTTCCGGCTCCCACATGTGCTTGTATACACATAGACAATCACACAAATAATAACAACAACAATAAATTAAAAACCAGTGCTGTCTCAAAATAATTCTATTTCACAACTGAAATTTCTTATCACACAGGTAGCTATAGAGTATTAATCTACATTAAAGAAGGTGTTCCTAAATTTTTTTTTTTTTTTTTTTTTTTTTTTTGGTCTCACATATAGCCTTGGCTAGCCTGGAACTTGCTATGTAAACCAGGCTGGCCTTGAACTCACAGAGATCCTCCTGCATGCTGGACTTAAAGGTGTGCTCTACCCAGTAGAGCTACCCCACTAATTTATACCGAAGTCTGAGTGCTATAAATTAGGGGTATAAATCTGAGTGGTCCATCCCTTGCTCTGTAGTTCTGGGCAGTCTCATCACTTTTAACAACACTGGCACTGTGAAACCTACTCAGCCAAGTATGCAGGCTAGGAGTGCCACAGCACTTGAGGCCATCTTTATTTCATATCAGCTTATCCTTCGAATTAAAAGTGCTAGCACACAGAATTCTAAAGGCAAGCTCCCAACGTTACAGCTATCTGCCCATCCAAACACTGATCTAGGTATTGTACGACAGAGATTTTTGCAAACAGAGATTTTTGCAAACGTCATTAAAATGTCTATTTATTTATTTGTTTGTTTATTTATGGGCAACACCTCACTTTGTAGCCCAGGCGAGCCAGGAACTCACTATATAACTTGCGTGGTCTCAAACTTGTTGGCCATCCTCCTGCCTCATCTCCCTAGTTGCTCTGACTACACGCATGGGCCACCGCAGCTGGGTAAGTCAGCTGATTTTAAGGTACAGAGTTGGTGTGGGTGGACACAACCCAACCCTCAGCATACGTTAAGAGCTTTTTGGCATGTATGTGACCTTGGGTTTGAGTTTCAGAGCTGTGAAGAAAAGGCTGGAAAAACAGCTGTCCTCTCTGGAAGGTGGCAGCAAGGGAAACCAGAGATATTAGAGAACATGGATTCAGCATAGCAAGCACGGAGGCTGGAGGGGCTGTGTGTGAGGACTACAGAATAGTCCCTGAGTAACAGTGACCTACAGCTAACAGCCAGCTAGAAAATAAGAACCCCAGCACATCTGTTACAAGACAATGGATCCTGCCTACAAGGAAACCAGCCAGCCTCCCTGACATCTTGATTGCCGGCACCTTGATTTCAGTCTTGTGATTTTCTGACCTGAGAACCTGTGGCCCCTCACTGCTAACTTACACAGTGGGGAGCTAAGTGAGTGATGCTGCAAGCTGCTGACTGGCTTTGGGCGTGTGGCAACAAGGCCTACGGCAATCTTCTAAGCCTTTTATCTAACATCTTGTGAAGGTTTTCAGTATTAGAATAAGAGGCTAGCCCTGGGAGATGTAGGGAAAGGGGCAGAACAAGTCTTCACTGAGCTGGACTCTTTCACTTATGAGACATCAAATGAGTCATGTCCCTAGTCATGGTGACACTGAAAATACCCTCTGTAACTTCCCTACTCCTAGGAGGTGCCAGTGCTCTGGGATCCACAGAATAAAATTACTGGACCATAATAAGCACACTGACAGGAAAAACAATAGAGAACTTGCCATATTCAAACTGCCTTAAAAAAAAAAAAACAAACAAACCATACATTCTTCCCTTTCTCCCTTTCTACTGTGGGGACACGTCGGGCGGCCCTATGCTGATGGCACTGTGCTACTGCCTGCGCTATCTCAGTTAGTGACACCTCCCCAGAGTGCTCACTTATGCAATAATTTACACCCTGTGATGGCTACAGAAACTTAATGTGGGACCAGCATCCCTTAAGGGCCCTTGACTTTTGCCCTGGAATGCCTGTGAGATCCCAGGGGCCAGCATATGAGATTAAGAACAGAATAATGGGGTTCCTGCTTTCTGCTTTTGTAAACTGGCTTATCAATGTGGGAGTGGAATAAATGGTCTTTTTATTACTATACAATGGGAAAGAAAAACAACTGAGGGGAGTAAAACAATTTTCTTGCCTAGCTATGGACTCCGTAGGTAATTGTCATGTCTACCTCTGATGTCCACCTTTAGAAAACCTTCCTTTAGGCCCTTCAGCACAGTATGCTGGTTGGCTCTCAGGCTGCCGCCCTTCTGCAATGAGAGTACATTTATTTCATTTAAATTTGAATCAAATCTAGAAGTCTTTGGTCTTTCTCACTGGACTTGAACGGCACAACATCTACCTACCAAAAAATATACTTATTTTAGTTTTAAATTTTAAC